GATTAAGAGCACTGGCTGCTCTTGCAGAAGACCTGGCTTTGATTCTCAACACCCACATGGCAGCTAACAGCCATCATTTGCAGGATGATCTGACACCCTCTTCTGACCTTCAAGGGCATTGTGCAACATACATTGCATACATTGCACTTATATACATGCAGGCAATACACTCATACACATAAAATTAAAAAATAAAATAAAATATTTTTAAAACCTTAAAAAAACTATACTTAGCAGAGTTATAAAGTGCCTAAAGACATTTAATGTAAGGTTTTTAATGGGCATAAAAATAAATCAAGCAAGTATCCATTGGGTATTCTTTTTCTGAAATGCTAGGGGCCCATATGCTTTAGATTCGAATTTTTCTTCTATTTTGGTGTTTAGTATGTTTTTCTAACAGACAAGCACTTTCTATTTGTGCATGTGTATGGTACTGGGGATTGAATCCCCCCCATGCCCTGACCCTTTTTGTATATTTCTGAACATTTGCATATGTGGACTGAGCTATCACCCTTGGGGATATAACAGAAGTCTAAATAGGTTTTTAGGTTTCATATGCACCTTATGTAAATGAAGGTATTTTTTATATGATATTTTAGTTTACCAGTGTTTCAACTGTCACCTATCATATGAGGACAGGTATGGAGTTTGCATGAGTGACATCATAGCAAGGCTCAAAATATTTTGAATATTGGAGGTTTTAGCTTTGAGATTTTGGGATTAGAAATGCTCAGCCTCATTTTGGTAATCATTTTACCATGGATAAATATAGATGTTTGAAGTATATTCTTCATTACAGTACAATACAATGGAACATGTTAAAAGCAAAAGCACCTTACATTTTTTTCCTAATTTTCTGCCAAATTTCACTACTGTTCAAATTTCGTTTTGAACTTACACTTAGTTCATAGTTTCAGATAAACCTAATGTTTCGACAAGAAGGGACTTGGAAGGTATATAGTGCAGATGTGTGTCTGAGTGCCCTTTACCTGCCCAGCACCTTGGAATCACTAAGTTCTAAGTAGAGTTATTAACACACTATCTTTGTCTGGGCTGCTTTGTGATCGTGCTGTTGCTGCATAGAGACACAGTGTGACATTCACATCAACACCTGGATCCAGGCATACACTCTGGCCCTGTCAATATTCTTGATCTTAATTCACAAAAATACAAAAAGAAGATCTTGTTTTGTGAAACAGAGGTCGCAGTATTGTTGGCTAGATGTAGATTATAAGGTATTACCTTTGTCATCAACTGGATTTCAAGACCATGTGAGTCAACATTGAAAACTACGGAGTTGTCACATGACTGTTGGTCAGAAATTTTAGCTGTCTGGACACCTCCCCCCATCAGCCCTGCCTTTCCATGTGGCATAGCAAGTCGGAGAACCGAATAACTTCCCTGCGCCGACACCACCCATCTCCACGGCAGAAAGATGACTGGTACTGGAACTGAGCCTCATGATTTTGTTGGTGTTCCTATAATGTAAGAGTGTTCCTCTTTCCTAAAAGCAAAAGTAGGAATCAAATTATGCCTGGAAGGCTGTGCCTTACAAACAGAGATGATACATTTTTTGTGAAAATGGTTACTGTACAATACCTAATGGTCTTTTGGTTACTGACCAAGCCCTCTGACACCCTCAGCCCTTAGCTTCTGTCCTTCTCTAGAGGATCATAGCTACCATTTTAGACAGGGAGGAGCCTTGTAAGGACATCAGGCAGAATCTTAGTATTTTTGCTGTTCACTCTCCAGTCCGGCATACACAAATTCTAGACTATAGAGTCCTATTGTATGAAATGAAAACACTGGAATCCATTATCCCTAAGATGAATCTTAACTGAAAATGCATGACTGTGAAGTTTGCTTCTTTCAAGGAAGCCTCTGTGACATTAGTATCACAAATACCTGCCTTGATGAAAGTAGTCACTTTTTCCTCCATCCTAAAGCAGATTACATTACAATGACTCTGCTTGTCATGTTTCATATTGATATCCTATCTGGTGGATGCCATAGCTCCGGTGTGAAAACTCTGTTGAGATTCAATTTGAGCTTTTAAAATGCATTTATATTGTACATTTGTAGCTTTGAACTGATGAGGTCACGACACTGGCAAGTCCTTAGCGGTTGTTAGCTATGCTTCGAGTTCTTTGCTGCTAATAATAGCTTAAAAAGACTGATGCCTCTAACGGGGAGTCGCAGGATTCAAGGGTATCACCAGAAAACAGCTTATCTCATTCTCATAAATCCTGACATGATTTTTGAGCAGAAAAACTCAACAAATAGAGTTACAGGCCCCCCAACTCTGTCTTCGTAATAAATTCCCATAGAAGAGAGCTATTGCTAGGAAAATAGAGAATACCAGTGTCTGTATGCTACATCCAGAGATTCTGAATTGTCTAATATGCAGCCGAAAAAAGGAATTTTAAAATGCCTCAGATTCAGACTTGAAAATATCGTTCCAGTCAAAAGTGCTTTGCTTCTGAGACATGAGCAAAAGCCTCCGCACTTACTACAGTGAAATTAATTTAGTCTCAGTTTTCTTAGACTCTATTTTTTTCATCCAGAATATAATAATCTTGATCATATCAGACACATATTTTTCAATACTGGGCAGTGGAGACATTTTGTGGAAATCACCAAATCCTTAGGGATTATTTTCTGACATGAGATAAAGAGCTCTAGGTTCAAGTAATTTCATCACAGGATTATTATGTAGTATCATATTTATGTTGACTTTCAGATACATATATAGTATATACTTTGGGGCTAGCTAAATAAAATGTAATTAAATGTAAATTGTAGGCAATTCAGCTATATAATAGCTTTCTATTTTATAAAAATGTCTCTCTGCACCTCAAAGCAGAGCTGCAATGACTTTGGAACCTTTATCTTTGAGCCTCCTCTCCGCCAAAGAGAGCCTCCCTGTGTAGTGGAAATGAGAAGTCTAAAGAAGGGAGTCATCCCAGAATCAGCTCAGTTCACATTTTGATCTCACAGATAGACACCTCGATGCTTATTTGCAAGTGATTTGCCTATATTAAGTAGATAGCGGACTCAGAAGGAACTTGGGATCCAGTGTTCTGGGCCTGCTTCTCTTTCTTGCTTCATCCAGTTCTCACAAATTTGCTTTTCTGTGTGAAATGTACTTTCTGCCATTTGTACTCGTCCTGGAAATTGAGTACAATATGATAGCTTCTCTCAAGTAATGATTCTTTAATGCTACGTTATTTATCTTTGCATGTGATGTATATACATATATATGTATGTATTCTGATTTTTAAAAAGTCAGCCCAGATTTGCTTGGATTTCTCTGTAATTAGCTAACACTTTGAGACCACATGCCTGATGTAAATATGTGACACATCTTTTGTTGTTTATTATGGTCTTCTGCTGTTATACTAATACCTTTCCCATCTCCTACTGGCTTTACTTTTGCAGCTTTGAGCAGTAATTCAGTCCCCTACGCCTCCCTGGTCGGCTCTGTGTCCTCCCTCTCTAGCCAAACCACCACTCAGTCCATATATGATAATAACTCTCTCCCACGATTCGCTCGAAAAGGTCTAAACATCTTTGTCTCTACTATTTTCTCTGTTAAAGCACTGTGACGATGTCTACATCAGTCCATTCCTGTGTTGATCAGCGTGCCGTCTCGTGTGCCTTTCATTTTCCATTCTTTTCTCTGAGGAGTGCCTCATCTGGAAAAGATTACTTTAACTGTTGATTGCTCTGTCACTCACCTACTCCCTCCACAGAATGTGTCGTAGCTCAATTCTACCATCTATATAGAAAAATCCAGAAAAGACTCCAAGTTTGGGGTCCAAATGCAGAATTATATCACCAATAAAGAGTATCTACATCTAATCAACACATTTCTGTTGGTTTTTTTTAACCAAGATTTTAACTCCTAGAAGTAACATTTACAGCCATGAGCACAAAACCATCGCACTTCAGGGTACTGTGCGGAGTGCTCAAGGGTTGCCCTGAAGAAGTAAAGGAGTTTCTTACTTAATTTACCATAACCATTGATAATCTGGCAATTGAGATAAAGGAATTTGGTGGGTGACTTTAAATAATGGCACCAATTCTAAATTGCTCATGAAGTAAGTACACCACATTGACTTAATGGTCATCCTTTGCAGTCCGATACCCTCCATGGTGACAGTGACAGAGTAGTATCTCCATAGCTTCCAGTGGGAAAGCCTCTCTTCTAAGTCTCTGCTTCAGATGTTTCCCTGGGGGCATGCTAGTTTACTTTCTTAATCCAGCTGAATTTGTGTCTCTTAGTATCTGAGCCAGCAGCTCTCTCTCACGGCGCACTTGCAAAATTTATCTCGAAACAAAATCGAATCATGTGAACAGTGAGAAAACATTAGAAAGACACGAGAATCATCAAAGTTAACAGCCGATTACTTTTAAAACCTATGAAATTAGTATGTCTTCAGCTGGCAGACTGAACTGAGATGTGTCAGCCCCCTCTCTGCGTCTTAATCCTCTTCCCTTCCTTGTCTTCCTACCCACCACGTGCTCACTTTCCTGAGTTCATTTCACATCAGTGGACAAAGATGTTTACACCTGGAGTAGATTGTAGGTTTGCTGGGAGTTGAAGAATGAGACGGGGGCAAAATACTACTGAGTTGTTCGTGTGACCATTTAGAAGTGTCTAAGCGAAGGCTGCAACCCCAGCCTCTACAATCTGCCACCAGTGCAGACATTTTTGAAGTTCAGTTTGGTTTGGTGTTGATGTATTGTCAGTGAGTCGTGGTGCATGGAATTCTCTGTGTCCTTGTTTGCATGTGAATGTCAGTCACTTTACAGGTTGTAAAATGTTAAAGGGATCTCCATCTAGTCACTTATAAGGTGAACTTGGCAAAAACTTGGCGCATTTTTTACCAGTGTTTTTCAAAAGTGTATCAGGCTATCCATTTCATTTTTTTAACAAATCCATTTTTTTTTTTTTTTTTTTTTTTTTTTTTTTTTTTACACCATCATTTCCTTTGCAGGTTCGGATGACTCCGGTTACCCTGGTAACCTTCATTTTTCAAGTTAGTTTCCTTTGATTATACATAAGTCACTTTATGTTTTCTATCAGCTGCCCCTCCTCTCTTCTTAGGCCTTCCTCACTGTCTGTTTCCTTAGTTCACTCTCCACCATTAATTCCACACAATTTCCATATCACTCAGTGCAGGAGAAGGAGTCTGAACGGGCATAACGGTAATTACTCAAAGCAGAAGCTGACATCAAGCCTGACTTTCGGTTTTCTCTGCAAGCTAACCTCATCCATTCATACCACAAATAACACTTTCTTCGAAACTAGGAGCATTAGTTGAGGGAATATGCTTGGTGAATTTTCTACTTGGCTCCAAAATCTACCCCTTAGAGCATGTCCTGCTTTGAGTAACCAAATGATCTGCCTGCTTCCTCACCTGAAATGTCTTTACTACTCACATGTTTTCAGGTCATTTCTAACTACAGTATTCACTGTATTGTGGAATCATTGCTGTCATTTTCATTCCCTTCAAATGTGCTTTCTCTTCGTTTTCAATAGGTATGGCTAGCCATCCTCCAATACCTATCTTGGAACTTGCAGATCATATTGAAAGGTTAAAAGCAAATGACAACCTGAAGTTTTCCCAGGAATATGAGGTAATGCACTTTGTTTATATGTGACAGAACTTTCAAGGTAGGCCTGCCTTTGTTTTTCACTAGAATATTAACATCAGTGGTTTTCACTGGAATGTGACTCTGAATCTGACACAAATGATATGAATTAAGCAACTCACAAATGTTTAAATCAGTACAGTAGCTGCGTTTTATAGATGTTCTTTTACATCTTTTCAATGTAAATTCAGTAATATTAATTTATCTTTTTTGGTTTTAAGTTCCTAAAATGTTCTGACTTAATAAACACCTGAGTAGTCAAAATAAGAGCAAAATGATTTGTAGTGAGAATCCTCATGGTAAAAGATATCAAGAATAAGTAGATTTTTGTATTATACTTTTTATTTTGTGTGCATACATGTGTGTGGGTGTACATATGTCGTGGTACATATGTGGAGGTCAGAGAACAGCTTGCAGGAGTTGATTTTCTTTTTCTACCATGTGGAGTCTAGGGATTGAACTGCAGTCATTGGGCTTGGCAGTAGGTGCCTTCACCCGTTAAGCCATGGTGCTGACACTGTGGATTTCTTAGTGCTCTGTTTTCCACGGCCTGAAAGGCCTGAATACTCTACAGCTGTTGAATACACATGCATCCACTTACCCCATCGTGTAAAGTAACACTAGTGCTAAGATTATGAGAAAGTTGCCTATTTCTCAAGGCATCTCGAAGTAAATAATTTGGTAAAATATCATAATCTTGAAAGAGTCCATGTGAATTTTTGGTGAAGCCCTTGTTTAAGTATGTATATACAGACCTGAGTCTCTCCTCTCTCTCTCTCTCTCTCTCTCTCTCTCTCTCTCTCTCTCTCTCTCTCTGGGTGTGTGTGGTATGTAATCTCTCCTCTCTCTCTCTCTTTCTCTCTCTCTGTCTGTGTGTACATGATATTTGTTAAGCAAAATACTGAAAAACTACATATTTGTGGTATTCTATATCATCAAGGACTAATAGTGAAACCAGCTCATGTATTATTGATCTGAACTGTCATTGTTCTTGTACCTCAAGTTTAACAGCACAAGATTGAAATGTACAACTGAAATCTTGTAACTGTTCTACGCGGCAAAATGTTGAGGGCTTGCTGAACTTCTAAGTTTTCATCATAAGAGCTTCCACTGGTTTACTTAATGGAACACATTGAAACACCACACTCCCTCTTAACCTTTCATTGTCTTCATTATATCAGCTTAAAATGGAGTTGTACATGACAGTCTTTGCATCTCGTTCAGGACTAAACCTTCTATCCTGCCACACGCATCGAGAATCTCTAAGAGGAGATGTAGCCAGGAGAGGTTCCAGACGTGAAAGCTTACATGAGACTGCAGGGCCTGTGGCAACTGATTATCCATGTATCCTCCCTTCTTCAAATACCTCATTTTCTTTTCTTCTGTTTCTTCCTTTCGGTTTATTTTGTTTATCTTTTCTTCAGTGCTATAGATTGAACCCAGGGCCTCATGCTAACAAATGGGCTACTGCTGAGCTATGTCCCTGGATGTTTACTTTGTACTTTGAGACAGGGTCTCACTGTCAGGCAGCCTTCAAACTTAGGATCGTCCTACCTCAGCCTCCTGAGTGGCTGACTTACAGGCCTGCTCTATGACTCCCAGCTTCTCAGCTTTATTTTTCAACATTGTACAGGGTAAGCAAACCATCTGTGTTGCTGTCCACTTCCGGCCTTCCTCAGTTTGCATATTCCAGCATCTTTGTACCAATCAGTAGAACAAAAAGAGTAGTAGTAGTTGTTGTCGTTCTCCCTTGTTCTTTGGCTAAGTGATAGTTCCCTTTGTTCTTCTTCAAGTACTCAGGGAAATGCACATTGGATTCCAGGTTGTCTTGTTTTCTTAAATTTTGTGCTTCTTATTTCCCAGGTGCTCTTCCTCTAAATTATAATAACTTGTTAAATTATGCAGTAGACTTTCAAGTAGCTCCAGTAGCTTCTAGTTTGGAGCTTGAGGGTGCAAAATGAATTTTTGCAATGATAACAAGGCAAAGGGTGAGCACATTCTAGGGCAATGAAAGATCTTAATCAGGGGCAGTTTTTAACCAACCCAAATCTTTACTGCTCCAGCATGTTCTTTACTGTGACCACGATGGTTCTTAGTTGTTTTATTGTTTATTTTCTTCGTGGTCCTGCTTTAATTTTGTGATTATGAATGATGTAATAGGTCACAGGAATTAAAAATAGGATAGTGCAGCTAATTAATAAGCCGTCAGTTAACATTGCTCTGGTATAACTTCAAACTACTCAAGGAATTTCACTTACATGCATTGAATGAAATAGCGGCCTCATTTTAATGTAAAATTTCTCAAGAAATGCTCGGTGTAAAGCTCTTATAATGAACCTCATTCAGCCATTAGACCAAAGCACTCCTTGAACGTGGTTACGGATGGCGTGCTGACCCTGATGCCATTAGCAGCTTCAGCCATTGACGTGCTAGACCACCCCAAGTGATCATGAAGATGATCTGTGATTAAAGCTCCCCGGGCATGAATTGACTCTACTGTGTCTTAACAGCCATGAAAGAGATATTAAGTGCTGTAGTCATCTGTGATAAGATTAAGACCTCTATGTAATAATATTAGAGCAACTCTTTGGGGGAATTTTTCTTAATAATTTCCACAAAAATTTGAATATGTTTTCACGGTTTTCAGTGAAGAAAATGAAGGGCAAAACTCATTACTTGCAAATACCTCATTATTTAGACTTAATGAGTATGAATTAATGTTTATTGAGACCACTTAAGATGAATAAAGCTAAATTTGTCACTCTGATTTGAAGACAAACAGCAGTTAAAGGCATAAAAGTTGTTGGCAGTAGTCCTGAGGACAGAATAGGAGGGATGTAGGTCAAATTATAGCTCATTGGATTTGATGACAGCTATAAGAAGCAGCTGGAGAACTTAGTATAATCTCATCTTTGAAGGTCATTCTAAACATTTTAGGTTTTCATTTCATATGAGAATGAAAACTCATCTTGAAATTGGAGTAGTTTTGATTTGAAGACAGCATCTAGAAAAGCATGGAATAAAGTCCTACACTGATGTGGGCCTGACATCCAAAATCAATGTGTTACACCAGGAGACATTTAGAAAGACCCTCAGTAAGTGTAGGTTTTGCAAAAACAAAATCTTAGATCCTTGCCTAGAAACAGTCATGGTAGCGTGTCTGTAATCAAAGCACTTGTGTGGTACCTTGAAATCATGCTTTGGAGCCCAGCCTAGGCCCCACATAGGGAGTCCCTATCTTCAAAAAATTAAATTTTTTTTCTTGTCTTAGTCTTGGATGTAATAGTTCAGTTACTAAGCCATTGTATCCAGGAACCTCCATTTTGATCTGAGCATTTAATAGAAACTTGATGAACATACCCAAGTAACTTCCCTTTGAAAAATGACATGCCGTCTGTTTATCAATCTAAACTGTAGAACATGATTCCTCAGTCTTCATTTCACATGTCCTGTTATGACAAATAGATTGGTAAATTTAAGACTCAACTGACAGATATCATCAGAGTCATTATCACGTGTACATATGCACAAATTCCTCTTTAAACTGGACTGATATAGAACTACATAAGGAGAAACTCAAGAACACTTGGTGTAGCTTACACTCCAAGGATGCTTCAAAGACTGACCCCACTGGGTGCCTGTGACGTTTACCTGACCTCCTCCCTGGAACTCTCATTTGTGTGCTTCACTTGCCTGGCTTTGTTCTGCCTGCCATGCTAAGTGCTGAACAAAAGAGAAAATTTTAAAAGACTTTACTTCTAAGATGATCAAGATAGCCATATATAGATGAGAGCAATAAAGAATATACTTATGACCTAATCTTAAAAGCTAATGAGGGGCTGGAGAGGTGGCTTAGCGGTTAAGAACCCTGGTTGTTCTTGCAGAAGACCTGGGTTCGAATCCCAGCACCCACATGGCAGCTAACAGTTGTCTGTTTCTCCAGTCCCAAGGGATCCGACAGCCTCTTCTGACCTCCATGGGCATTGCACAACACAGGTGCACTTACCTACATGCAGGCAATACACACATACACATAAAATAAAAACAATAAATTTTTTTAAAAAGCTAATGAAATATTAGAATCATCAATGGTCAGAGTGAAGTAGAAAACTGGGAAGGCATGGAAGAGAAGATCCCATGCTGAGGGGAACTTGGAAGAAGGGTGAAGAGCGTTTCACCGAGGGCAAAGCTGAATGCACAGCAGAAAACATGCTCTCACACACTCACATCAGTAGCATTGGCCTTGCTGGAGGATATCAGAGATTCTGTTTTAGCTACCGACCCAAACTTGCTGAGTCAAAATCTTCATTTTGACAAGATACCAGGATGCCTTTGCAGAGAGAGTATGCATGGAACAGAAGGGTTGTACTGAGTGGACTTGTTATGGTGCTACAGGTTGTTTATATGAGAGAGTTGGGTAAGATGAAAGTGTACCAGGAAAGAAGGTCAAGAGTCATGAGCTGCCAGGGCCGGTGCCAGTGGTAAGGCTGAGGTGCTTTAATGGTGAAAAGGCATGGGATTTAACACAGATTTTCATCTTGACTCGAATTCTTTGTGTGGATGTAACTTGTGCAGTTGTATATACTTACAAGTTGTCATCTATAAATTATAAGGCTACAAGAATTTGAGAGTGCTTGCCTGTATATATGTAAAATGAGTTAAAAAGCTGAAATCTTCTGGGAGGTGGCTAGTAAAGGCTGATTGTTACATTCATTGCCTTAACAGCATTATGTATTAATTAAAGGTTAAGAGTATGTATCAAGGACTTATGCCTAGCCCCAAGAAACTCATTCTCTAATTAAATAGACTATGGCAATGAAAAGATTTTAAATGTATTCAATCTTATGTTTAAAAAAATCATTT